TGTGTGCAGGTTGTATAGTAACCATGGCAATGGATCAGAGTGCAAATCTACACCCAAGTCAGATGAAGAAAAAAGGACCATTGAGGATGGAAACTAGAGCTATTATCAAGACTCTTGTATGAGAAGTTGTGGACGGAAGTGGGAAGCCTGCCAAGGCAGGGGAAGACTCTGGAAGCTGACCATAATTGTCTGTAGAAGGTAATCACCATAAACCATTCCTGCAGCTGCTGGGCTCAGTGAACACCTTTACTGTACCCACCACAGCATCTGCCCAGCAGGTACCATTGATATGAGATTAAAGGCACATTGCAGCACTGGATGCCTCCTTGGTCACAGCTCCAAATGACTCCCTTATTTCCCATACCCATTCTGGGAGTGGGTATTCTAGGCACTGCCAATGTACTGATGAGGAAAGCTCTGGGAAGGTGAGGGCAGCAGAAAGTTTAGCCTCTTTTTTTTTTTAATCATGTTAGGAAAATAATGTGCAAATAAAATTTAAAAGTCACTTAAAACTGGTGAAGAAAAAGTTTCAGAGTACATGATATTTTTGTGTTGGCAAGCTACTTAAGAAGCCAGTCACAAACTGATAAATCCTAAGGACACAAGATGTCACCCCACTGAAAGATCAGGGTAGACAAAAAGAAGATGGCCTGAGAGCTAAAATGACATGCAGGATGGAGAACTTGGACCTGTCAGGCTGACTGACATCATAGGCAGTGGTATATCAGTGGATCTCAGCTTTGGCCAATTTGTGGTTTTAAAATCAGGCCATCCACATATTAATATCATTAGGAGAATGTGAGTCACCAAAAATGAAGGAAGCAGAAGCAGCTATGTATCCTTGACAGAAGGACCACTGTGGCAGTGAACAAGGCCCCTAAATCCATTTCAGAGACTGCAGAGAAATGTTTAAGTGCAGTTCTGACAGAAGCTGAAATTTGAAAAGGACTCACAGTTAATTCCAAGAGCAAGTCACTAAATTTCACTAAAAGCCACTTGTAGCAGCTTTTTAGAATCAACTTATATTTTCTACACAATGAGTTTTAAGTAAAAGTGGCTACTGGTTCTTCAGAGGGGTTGCCCAACTAATTGGCTTTGTTTAAATAAATGTAAAATTTACAAGGAAACTGAATAAAATTGGAGACCTTCTGGATTTATTTCTAACTTGTAGGATGGCCCCACCATCTTAGTTTCTTTTCTTGTCACTTTGGTGGAACACCTGGATGAGAGCAACTTCTGGTAGAAAAGGTTGATTTTTTTTCACTCACACTTTCAGAGTACAGTCTATCATGGCAGAGAAATCATGGCAGCAGGAGTTTGAGATAGATAGGTGGTCACACAGCATCTTACATCCAGGTTTCAGACTGATGAAGGCAGGTGCTCAGCTCACTTTCTCCTTTTTCTATACTCCATGATCCCAGCCCATAGAATGATGCTACCCATGGTCGGTGGGTCTTCATGCTTCAACTAAACTAACCAAAATCAAAATAGTTCCCCACTGGTATGCCATGGCCTGTTCCCAGGTGATCTCAGACCCATCAACTTAGCAATTGTGATCAACCCTGACACAGTCCAGAGGTCATCTGTGGACCTGCACAGGTGACAAACAGGTCATTGGTCATGAACAGTGTCACACTGTCTGCAGTTGGCTGATATCATCTTAGCTCATCCCTAGCTCTTTATCTCTAGTGTGAGAGTGTTCTATGAAGACTTTGTTAGAATTTTATGTGGATCGGTCTTTGTAGAGTACCTTAAAATTCATGGAAGTTATATTTCCTCAGCCATACACAGACATGGTTTTTTTTTTACTTAATTTTTTAAAAAGGGACCGAAATAAAAGGGGGAGTACCACGATGCTTCTGTGGAGACCAGAGATCAGCCTTAGGAATCATTCATCTCCATCTTATGAAAGGCTGGGTTTCTCATTGTTTGCAATTGCACACACCAGGCTATCTATCCCAAAAGCTTCTGGGGATTCTCCCGACTTCAACTTCTGCCCCTCTATAGGGTCACTGAGACTATAGACAAGTGCTCTACCATGGTATGCTTTTACATGTATTCAGGGGTATGAGCTCAGATTTTCATACTGGAATGGCAAGCCCTTTATTCACTAAGCCTTCTCCCACTCTTCATAATTGTTTGTGTACTTGTTTATGCACTATCTTACTACTATATCTTCATCTCTAGGTCTAAGCACAAGATATGTGAAGGCTAATGTGTTTTTAAAGTTATGTCATTTACCAGTATCAGATTACCAGCCAGGACTGGGAAGCTGTTTCTGTATATACTAGTTAGTGTTTTTTTTTATTTTGGGGGTCAGATGGCCAGAAGTTTGGGTCATCTGAGACAAAGAACATCGATTGAGAAATATGTCTGTAAGATTGGCCTATAGGTAATTCTGTATGACATTTTCTTGATTAATGATTGATGTAGGAGAATCCAAAGAGAAAAAAAACTAAGATACTGAATATTGCAATTGCAATAGCAATTGACTGGCAGAACATAGACTTGTGATGAGGTCACCAGTCATATATTCAGACTGCTCACTCAGACTCAAGTGGTGGAGATTTTCTATGAGCTAATGGAAAGAGAGCATTCAGCACCCTGGACAGCTCCAGAGCTAAGGTAGGGAAGATTCTGTCTCTGCCTCTCTGTCTCTGTCTCTCTCTCCTTCTGCTTTCTACTTGATTAAAAAAAAAAAAAAATAACATGAGACTGACATGCCTAGCAGTTTTTAAACCCAAGAACTTTACCAGTTACCTTTTATTTCACGCAAGCGGCAGTCTCTGTTCTTGGAAGAAAAATGATTTGATTTGTGCATCTGTCTTTTGGTAAATGTTTTGACAAGTTAAAAATAGGAAGTTTTGTTTTGTTTTAAGGAACTTTCTAAATTGATGAGTATGTAAATGAACATGTCAACCACCTCACATGACTAATTTTGTGGTAAGAGGAGCTAATATCTACTCATGTGTCATGAATCCTCCACATAACAATTGTATTACCTATAAAGCTCCCGATGAACAACCCTCATGCTTCTTCACCCAACACAACTGGTATTTTATAGGAAGAGTATGTGCTTATTATGATCCAATAATGGAAAAAATATATAGACCCCAGTACAACAAACAGTGTCAGGGCTTGATGCATCTGAGTTTGAGAAAAGTCCCTTCAGAGTTCTCACAGTGGACACATGTCACACTGATTCAGTTTCCCTGATCTGCTGCTGACCTCAGACTTGGGCTTATCTGAGCAGCAGTTCTAGCTATGTACCAAAATGAAAAGTGGGAGATGCATGCTCCCAGCTAAGATCTTAAAAAGCAAGCAAACCAACCCAGTCCAGATGGGCGGAGACCAGCTGGTGCTTCCAGCCCTGCCTGTCCTTTCTCCTAGCGACATCTAGAGCTGGCATAGCAGAACAAGCTCAGTCCAATCCATAATCCAAAGCTTTTAAGCCAGATTTCCGGGGGTGGGGGGTGAGTGCATCTTTCCTGCCTGCATTGCAACCAAGCTATGTTCTCAGGACCCTAAGTAAATAGAATTCTCCAGAATTCATCATTGCTCGATGCCCTCCTCAAAGAATCCTAGTTCTTTGAACCAGATGTCAGAAGAATTTGTCCTTTTTCCTCCAGACTGGCCCACTGGAGTGGGGGCGTTAGTCTTTGGTGTCTTTGTAATCAGGGGGACGTGGAAATGACAATAGTGCATTGTATATGATGCCTGGCTGTGGTCTGTGGGTTTCCCTCCAACTCCTGTCTCCGCTGTGGCTGTCAGTCCCTATGCCTCACAGAGCAAAACAAAACCCACTATTAACAGTAGCATTGCCTCACTGGTTTTGTAAGATCTGAAAAGTGCGGTCCCTTCTTGCTCATCTCTTATACCACTAAAGTCTTATTACCCCAGACCCTACAGGTCTTGAGGCCATACCTCCTGTTCCCGTTGGGGCAATGTTCTGCTCTGAGGCGGGAGGAAGACTAAGGTTGGTGCAAAGACATGGGTGCTGCAGAGCTGCAGGGCAGAGGGATCCAGGCAAGTCCTCAGACACTACACACCTTTCTCTAGGGCTGCACCAGCCAAGCCAGACCTGTCTGACTCAGAGCTCCCCTGGGAGCTGTCTCCCGGTCTCAGAAAAAGCTCTTCCCCCCTGAAAGTACTCATAACATCTGGCACGAACCAACCTCTGGAAGGTCAGCCCCTTTTTGGAGCCACTGGTACCCTGCTCCCTGATTACTAGGCTGTATGCAAATTCAGCCTCTGAAGCCCAGACTTCCAGCCTTAGGAGTAAGAGACCACTCCAAGAACTTCTAAAGGAAGGAGCATGGCCCAAGTAGAGTTGCTGGTTGCTGGCCCAACGGTTTGCAGCCCAAATATACTTGCCTGGTTCTTAGTACGGAAGCCTGTATTGGGCCTGGGTCAGAGGCCAGGGCTCTGAAGCTAAGACTTTTTTTTTTTTTTTTTTTTTCTGGGAAAAACACCACAGGTATAATACTCGGGTATAGGGAGAGGTGTCTGGGGATAGTGAAAAAGGGAAGAGGGGCAGAGTGGAGAGGAGAGGAGGGCCACCTTGTATAGTTGCAGTGGCAAGTAGAAGGAGGGGAAAAGGAATCTGGACTGTGTTCTCTGAGCCTCAAAGCAAGAAAATAAACATGAAACACAACTCCAAGCGTACACAGATCTAATTCCCTCCTTGGGAACCACGGCGGGCTGTGGTTACAAATAGACATCCACGAATCTAGTGAATTCCACGCATAGTCCACATCCCATCAGGCGCAGCTCCAAAACCCTGCCTGCTCTGGCCACCAACTCCTGTCTACCACCGCAGAGACCTGCTCTGGACCAGGGTGACTGAGATTTGGAGCCAAGGAGAGTGTCTGAGCAATTCGGCACAGCGGGGCATAATAGGAAGAGAGGAGCAAGGGACCCAGAGACCCCCATGAGTCGCTAGGCCCATGCCTCCCGCCTAAGCCCCCACCACCGCCACCCACCCACCACGGTGCTCTTACGTCCTCCTCGTCACAGTCGCTCCTCGCCTGGTACTGAAACCGGGGCCGGCCACCCGCGCCGCCGCGCTCCCGGGGCGCCGCCGCCTGCGCCTGCGGCCCTAGGGGCTTCGGGCCCGCGTCCTCCTCCGGCCCCTGGCCACCCAGGAGGCGACTGGCCTCCGGGGGCGCCGGAAAGGAGCGCGAGGTGTTGATCTTGCCGGTGAACCTTTGGTACAGCGAAGCCATGGGCCGCCTCGAGCTGGCTCACTGGCTCGGATGCTTGGAAAAAAAAAAATGTTTCCTTTCTCTATCTCTCGTCCCTTTCCCCACCCCCTCCAGCAGAAAAGAGAAAGGGGGAAAGGGCGGTGGGGAAAGAAGAAAGGCAAGCCCGGCCGCTCCGCGCCACTCGCGAGTCGCCTGGGTGCTGAGCGACTCTGCCTGGCTCAGCTTCTCCGCCCCCTCCCCGGCGGCGCGGAAGCCAGGGGTCGGAGTGATCGCTTTCTCTTTCTGCTTTGCTATTTTTTAAAGTCCTCTCCACGGCCACATTCGGCCTCACCAAAGAGATGGAAGGAAAGCAAGACACCAGAAGCACACTAAGGGAGGGGACCTGTCTAGGCCCCATTATTTGGCACCACCTAGAGACCGGCTCATCTCCTGGTCCCCGCCCTGGCCCCTAGCAGCTCCTCCTTTCCCTTCTCGGAGGGGTATCTAGCTCCCTCCCTGGGGCACCTGGGGAGTTCCAGTCTCAAAGGAAGGGAGGAGGGTGCTTGGCACCTGGGGAGTTCCAGTCTCATAGGGAGGGAGGGAGGTGGATGCGGCAGGACTCTCAGAATACAAGTTGGGTGGTGGATGAGGGTTCAGGGCTGGGGCACTACTAGTTGTACAAGGCCAAGTGCCCCAGGGAGAGGAGACAGCACTTCAAGAGGCTAGAACTGAGCAAAGAAACCCTAACAGCCATGGTATCCTAGGGTTTCCGGGCCAGGACTCACATTACATCCTCTTTGGGTAGCAGCACACAGCTGCCTTCCCGTGCCTTCCAAGGACTCCCACCTAGTATTGCTATCTGGCTTTGATTAACCTCTGCAAAGGCCCCTGAGAGCCTGGGGTAGGAATGCAGCTGCAGGGCATAGGCGGAGGCCTATTAGGAAGGTAGGCCTGTAAGGAGCAGGTACAGGGTACTTGTTCCTAGACCCACCTTCCTTCCACCACGTAGGATCTCAAAAATAGATTCATTTTCTTCTTATATTTTTTAAATTTTTATTAATTCCCTCCCTCTTTCCCTCTCTTCCACCTCTCATGCCCCCTGACCACCCTCCCCAACACCCCCCCACTCCACATGTAGAGTGATATCTTCCAAGTGGGGTCATCTAAATCTGTCAAGTCATTTGGAGTAGGGACTAGGCCTTCTCCCCTGTCTCTAGGTTAAGGGAGTATAAGAAGAGAAGACCAAGTCTAGAATATGTGTCAGGATTCCTGTGCTGGCTTAGGGCAAGTGTCAGGAGCAACGCCTTTCAAGGGTACGCCTAGCTCCAGCCTGCCTGTCTGTGACCAAATACAGGAAAACGCTAAAATGCTTGGAGGTCAGCAACCTTTCCAAACCTTGTTCCACCCCATTCTGGCACTGAGATGCTGTGAGAGGGGTGTCTTGACCCCAGGGCAGCTGCAGCACCCAGGGCTTCCAAAAACAAACTCATCTTGGTGTGTTCAAACATGCTCGGGTGCCCCCATGTGGAGAGATGCGCAAACTGTATCTGTTCGTCTAGGTCTTGGCTGGCATCTCCCCTATTCCAGCCTTCTGTAACTGAATTGAGATACACCGGCACCACTAAGGGTTAGGACTTTGGAAGACTCGCAGGAATTCTGGCACGTGCCCAGAGTCTCAGCGGCCCCTTCCCACAATGATTCCAGGACCATTTTGACTTCTCCTACCACCCAGTGGTGCTCAGAGCCTCCTCAGATTCCCTGCTGATACTGAGCATTTTAATGGCCACTCTGAAGACTTGGGTAGCAGGGGACCTCTAGTCCTCCTTGACTGGAGGCTAGAGAGTGCCTGTAGAGCTCTCAGCATGGAGGGAGCTGTACTGCACTGTGTTGAGCCAGGCCTGCTTTTGGAAACAAAACCACCTTCCACTCCCCCCCCCCCCCAAGCTCCCAGGGCAGAAGTTGGTTTTCTGTAGAATTTTGTCAGCCTAGCTTGTGCTCCATAGCCAATGTGCTCATTGTGAATAGACAGCCACTAAAGCACTCTAGAGACATTTCCCTTTATGAAGAAAACAAGAAGAGCTTGAAACCACATTCTAATCAATGCAGGGCTCACTTGCTGGGAGGCTACCAGCTGGGGTGGGAGAGCTTTGGCCATCATGCCACAACTCAGATGACCCACTGAATGCTTTCAAGCACATAAAACTAAAAACTACGTTCCTGGTTCAGTAAGTCCTGATTCCCAGACTATCATCTGCTAGCCACTTGAGAGGACAGGCTCTATCTTTCAGGGGCTCAAAGCCACTGCAGCTGAGGATTGTGACAGCACTACCTGTGGATGTCCTCTGTGACTTCCTCCTTATACCTAAAGGACATATATACAGTTTTACACAAGCAGGAATAATTGTGTATATTCCATTAATATATTTATGAAAACCATGGGAATTATATAGACTATCATGCCCACTATTTTATAGATGAGTGCCTGTTAACCATTATAAATTAATGATAGAGTTTTTAAGATGCACTGTTTTCATTATGTGTATTGTGTGTCTGAATGAGTATGACCACAAGAGTGAGGTACCTTCCGGGACCAGAGGTATCTGGTCTGGATTTATAGGAACTGGATTTATAGGAAGTTGTGATCTGCCTGATATTGGTGCTTGGATCTGAACTCAGGCCTCTGCTAGAGTGTTATGTGTGCTTAGCATGTGAGCCACATCCCGAGCCCCGAGCCTGAACCATTTATTTAATGATGAATGCAGTAAGTTGATAGAAAAGGTATATGTCTTCGAGACTTATTTTCTGTGGTGAATCTGTAAATATTCAACTTAAAATTTGGTCAATGTTTTATAAGTTTGATTAAATTCCTCTGAAAATATAAATTATTCCTATTTAAAAAATAGTGTATAGCAAAAAGTTGTAAGAACTCATAAACATTCAGGCAAAGGATTAAAATAAAATATTCTCTCTACACAGGAAGATCTGGAGCATAAGCAGAGGAACCGGAGAGTAGGGGAGGCAGGGAGAAAGAGGCAGAGTCTAGCCATGCTGGCATGTAAAGAGCAGAGGTCTGGAGCTGGGCAGAGCCGCTTGTGTACAAGGCATCCTTAATGCACTTAATGCACTCTGATGGAGGTACACGGCTAAGTGGAGATCTTGGCCACATTCCTTTGTCTTTCACAGTGAGTACAAAGCTCCCAGGACCATTTTAAAGAATGGTTTTGACTGTGAAGCCGTGAACTTGTGGCAGTGCACCTGCAGATCCAATCTTCCCTTACAGGTGGGCACACACAAGACAGAGTACATTTACAGACTGTGATGCCGCATAACCCCCTGGGCGAGATTAAGCATGTTAATTTAGAGTGAGGCATGGGTATCTAGAGAATGGAGGACTCGACTGCTTATGACACATAATTAATCAAGTCTGGCCTGTGGAAACCCCTCCTCCACAACATAAGGAATGAGATACTGAGAGGGATAATAAAGTCAGGGCTTTTCGATCACATGGTAGTGTCTTAGCAGGAAATAGGTCTAAAAACACTGTCTTTACATGGCTGTGAGCATCTTATTATAAAATAAAAACTGTAGGATAGTTGAGATGGTTCAGCAGGTACACAGTTGTATTTGCCACCAGCCCCGACAACCCATAGAACACACACACACACACACACACACACACACACACACACACACACCAAATAAACAGATATGATAAAAACATTAAACTATAAAATTTAACCAGGGAAAAAGTTGATAGAAACTTTTCTGCCCAAAGGAGCAAATGTGAGGCTTAAGATGCACCGGAGTCAATGGAGGAAATGTGGTGAGCTTATCTGTGGGCTGTTTCATGTCAAGATATGAATTCCTCATTGCTGTTTAAAAACCAGAGTCTACTTGCTCTCTTTTCTCTGTCATATCTTATGATTGCTTCTGTGTACACTGCTCCCTGGATCAGATTTACAAACAAATATGAGAAATCATCGAACCCAGCAGATGCTACAGGATATTTTAAAACTGACAACAGAGGAAACCTGAATGATTGTTTACCCTTCCTGACTACTAATGTTGGAGATATTAAATGGCCACCTTAGCATGCCTGGAAGGCAGGTCTTTCCTGAAGCACTGGGTATCCTCCTATAAACCGGGATAAATAAACAAGCATCTGGATATCCATAAAACAGTGTTTATTAAAAAGAGAGAGAGACAGAGAAGCATGTTCTTAACTCTGAACACCCCCCCCAACACAAACACTTCTGCTATGTTGTTCTTCTGGTTTTGCAAATTGACTGCTAAGAATGCACTGGGCTGTAGGCTCTGTGCAGATTTCAAACAAGGACTGCATAACGAATATACATATCTACACAAAGGAATCGGTAAATTCTGCACTCAGAAAAACATCAAAGGTAAAGTGGGAACTGAATTATTTTCCAGCTATTCAACAAAATATTAATATATTTTAAAGGAAAACATTCACTTTAACTGAATAAAAACTTTCTATTAAACCAGTAAAGTTTTAATCTACTATCTGCCTTTTTGCTGCATTTTAGTAATGCTTTATTCAACTTCCCATTTATGGATGGGAGAGGATTAGGGAGAATAAAAGAGACCTCAACACAGTTGAATACACAGGACTCTGATTGCAATCCATTTATCTCTGGTGTTAGGAGTCATCATTGAGGTAAGCCATCATTTCATATTCAAAAACATGGTAGACTGGAATATCATTTAGGGAATATTCTCTACCCCCAACAGTTTCAGGGATGTGACCCTTGCCTGATGCTCTGACTTTGGGACTGACTGCATGACTGACTTTGGCCAGTGCATGAGCATGATGCAGACAGAGGCCTGGCAGGCATGGGTGTCACTAATTGACATCCGTGTCATAAGGACGGAAGTTCCCAAGCTGCTTGAATCTGGACCTAACCTCTAAGCTGTTGCCATGCCATGTAGTTGGGAAGCAAAGAACAAAGGCATCTACGGGAACTTAGGACCAGCAAAACCCCAGTTCATTAGGATAAATCCAAGTCTTGCCTAGCCTCTTGTATAATCAGCTGCATTTGGGGGTAATTTGTTGCACAGCATGCCATGACTGTTATCTAAACAACAACACTTACTGCAAGCATTTCACTTCTTTGCTCAGAAAGTAACTGAATGCCTACTATGTGTTGTTTTGCTGTGTTGTAAGGTGGAAACGATGAACCTGCCTACAGTCATTCAGGCCGGTCAACAGGCCTCATATGCATCAAGTGAATGCTACACACGAGGGGACTCTTAAGGCAGCCCTGGAAATGGAGAGATGCAGCTTTTCCCATTTCAGTTAGGACACTTTGGACTCATCAGAGGATAACTTTATCCGGAGATGACTGGCAGAACCTCTTGGATTATAGGTGTGTTCTTTACAAAGCCTTTTATAGTGTGGACATGGGACAGCATTTTCAAACTACTGAG